ATATTAGCATGGCGTCGATATGTGGATGATGCTAATAAAAACCTAATCCAAAACACCTTTAACAATTTATATCCACATTTAAATTTTACATTTGAAAAAGAGAACGATTTTACAATATTATTCGTAAATGTACTAGTTTGGAGCTCTTTAGCTTTTTAGCTTTTTCCTATCGAAAGTTATTCAAAAAGAGTCATATACCGTTCTCTTTTTGAATGGACAATAGTAGAGAGTAAAATTTTAATCTCCACTGGTGAAATTTTAATTTCAACTGTAACAGATACACCATCACGCTCACAGTGTGCATTTTTCCATAGATCGGGCGGACATTTGCTATAGCAGCAGTCCGAAAGACTATAAACATTTTTTTATATGCTTTCATATATGCTCTTTCCAATGGTGTGTTTTTCAAAGTTCAAAGAGACTTTCATCTGGGTTCTCCAGAGATCGGGTCTGTAGAAAACCCTTAAATAAGTATTCTTTTTAAAGTGCACCATTGGAAAGAGCATATCTGTAAACATATAAAAAATTGTTTATAGACTTTTGGACTACTTCTATAGCAAATATCAAAATCCTTAGCCAAAACTATAACTCTATGCTTCGACTTTAGCGTTTCGTTAGATCCAACTAGTTTTTGCTCAGAAGAACCTACAAATGACATATCATTCGATGCAATTTCTTACGCTGATTCCGAATATGTTATTTTTGTTGGATGAAAACGTTTCTGAACCGAGAAAAATGGAAAATACCTGAAAAGGTCAGGTTTTCTGGAAAACCCGCTGTATGCTTCAGAAACATTTGCGAATTTTTGCGCATTCACCATAGATGCAGGACATATAGGAGAAAATTCTGTGAAAGTTTACTTAAATTTGGACCTTCACTAACTTACGCGCGCTCACTTTACTAAGCTTAGGCCTTCGGAAAATCGTTTGAGAAAAACTTCTTTTAATTTTCTCAACTATCATAAGTCCAATTTAAAATTTGTTTTACTAATCTATAGCTGATGCCATGCAAATTTAGAATATATGTCGTTTTTGATTACGACTTCATTGACTGCCGTGAAAATTTCATTTTTCGCACCGATACTACTATTTGAGGCTAATTTTTGATTGGTTGATTTTCCACGCTACATAAGCTTTATAACAAAACATTTTATGCCATCAGATAGAGCATGTTTCGAAGTATATTTATCGCTATTTGAATCGTTGAAAAGTCGATTTTCGTTTTTTTACCTAATGTCCGCCTGGATGCACACTGTGACGCTGTTCGTAATAAGATTTATCAAATAGAAAATGGGTTCCACTTGTAGCAAATTGCAATAATTTCTATAAATAATGTTCCTGTATACGTTTTGGATCTATATAATATAACTTCTCACAAATGATATCAATTGTCTCATTGACTGAAATATTAGTAAATAGATTTCAATATCGAAACTAACCATTTTATACCTGGAAAATTGTAGATTATTTTGTAAGAATAATAAAAATTCATCTGTGTTGCTAATTTCAAATATACTATGGGGGAGTGGATTAATAACACCTGTCAAAAATGTCCCTAACTTATAATTATATGATTGAATACAGGATACGATGGGATAAATTGGTATCCCCGGTTTATACTTTGAGAGGACCATAGAGACGTACAGGGACAGATTGAGCCGGTCGAATTTGATTTTGTAAAACTCCTCAGATATCTCCGAAAGAAAGAGGAGTTGTAGTTTAAACTCAAACTTGGCCATTTTTGTAACCCCCTCAAATAATAAATCAATTCGATAAATTCAATTATTGACTCTATATAAAATGACACATGTCATTTTGAGTATTGATTTCATTGTTCTTGGTCAATAAGAATGAACGTATGTTAATTTTATTGGAGTATTTTTTTATTCAACTATATTTGTGTTATAATTCTTCCATAAATAAAAAACATCAACAAACAACAAAGAGTACAAGCAAAATATAAAAAATACTCGCAACAAACAACAACAAACAAATTACGACTAAATTGTTTTCGTCTTTTAACACGACGTATGTTCATTTTCTCCGTTTATTTTAAGCTCAGAAAGGCATCACACATTCATAAACCGATGAGATAAGAATGGCTAGACAAAATATCAAAAGTGACAACGAAAGCAAAAAAATATGTACCTAGGTGGTAAATTTAAACTAAAAATAGAGCAATGATATTGGTGGATGTTTTCCGACGGTCGTGGTGACGATAGTGGTTTATGTTCGCATAGCACTACTTATTTTAAAAAATTTGACAAATTTAGCGACAAAATTCAAAATAAAAAACCAAATATTTCTTGCAGCTGGTGTTTTAGCTATAAATATTCTCCATAACATAACAACAATAATTGTATTACATAACCATCGAATATTTCTTAAATTTCTTAAATGACGTTGAGCTACATTGATACTATTTAAATCTTCATTTAATATATAACGTTTTGTTCCAATTAAATATGATTCAATATACGTGGGCCAATGTAACGAACGAATATCAAAATAGAATTCATCTCGATCATCGTTGTTTCCATGTTCATGTTGTTGCATTAAACTTCTTAATGCATTTATACTATCATATGAACATTGTAATTCACCTTTAATTGTGAATGATTCTAAACTAAGTAATATTTTATGGATATGTTTATATAAATCAACAATACGCGGTTTTTTTCCTAATAATCTCAAACCAAAATCGGCTAAATAAGCAGGAATTAAATGACTAAAAAATACATATGAATCATGTAGTAAACTATGACTTGTTATGGTTAAATTTGGTCTTCTAAATGCGCCTTCATATGGAATACGTTTAGAAAATTCAGTAAAAAAACTTTCCATTTCTTGCCAATGAAATGGATTTAAACCACTTGATGTACAATGATATATTGATATATCGTTATGACTATTTTCTATTGTACTTGTTTGTTGTTGCTTATATTTTTGCCATGCAGCTACAATGAGTAAATTAACTGGTATATCAACTGGTACAATGTCTAAAATTGCATGTGAATCGCCTTTCATTGAACGTAAATAACCACGTGATGATGATATAAATAATTCACTTAAGCCATTTGATTTTTCAACCCAACCAGGATAAGGTTCCTTCCAAGCCGAGCCAATCATTGAAACACGTACAATTGATACTGGTGGTAATGTTAATTTTTGATTTGATAATACAGTTTCAGCTAACCAATGAGAAAATGTAAATGTATTTGGTTTTGTTCCAATTAATTTTGGTGTAGCTAATTCGATCATCTCATTATCCATCCAACTTAAAGCATCAATTAATTTCAATGGATCAATAGGACATGGATAAATTGTTTCATCTATATACGGACAATCTATAGAAGGAAAAAGAACAAGTGAAAAATATTATCTTTTAATGTGTTTTACGCTTTTTCTTTCCATTTTAAGCATAAGAGAATATTACATGTAAATATTCGATGGTGCTGGCTAAGATATACATAAAGCATATAGGAGTTTTAATCCCAGTAAAAGCTTCTTTTTCTATGCTTCCCCAGACTCGTTGAGACATAACAAATTTTCCTCTCTACTATAACTATATTAATTAACAGACAAAGTCAGATATCTTTATATTAATAATGCAGTTTAGTGCTACACTATTTAAGCGAAGTGCATTGAATTCTCTACAGTTGATCATTATGAACCTTTTACATAGACGTTTTATACTACTTACCGATATTAGCATATATAGATGATAGATAAACAATTGACTTTAATTTTGTACATGTTTTCAAAAAGCTCAATATCGATTTTAAATCAATAACATTTGTTTGTATCATTTGTTTTAAATTTTGCTCATCAAAATCATACGAATTTGCTGCCAAATAAAAGCATACATCAATATTATCTCGTAATAAACGAAATTTTTCTTCGTCTTGTTCTTGTTGTTTTTCATCTTTATTGAGAATAGTATCTATATCAATCGGAATTAGTTTTTCATAAAATTTTGGATTACTCCGTCTTACACGATCGAACAGTTTACTTGTACATAACTCATCGAAGCAATCATCGATTGTTGTTGTGGTGGTGACAGTTGTGCTGGTACTAGATTTAATACTTGAGTTTGATGACGTTGATGTTGTATATACAAGACAATAGATTTTGTCGATATTTGAACAACAACGTAATAATTTTTCTAATAAAACTTTTCCCACAAAACTTGTTGAACCAATAACAAGTACAGATTTATCCTGATAAAAATCGCTAATAGTTGATGGCATTATTTTCCTAAATGATAGTTGTGGTGGTAATGTTATAAAACAATATAAGAGATTTAATTGATCTCTTCTTGTTTTTTGTTGTTTTAAATCTAAAATAATAAAATAATAAAATTCTGCTTAAAGAAAATAAAGCAATGGATAATTAATCGATTTTAATAATCAACATACTGCATACTAACGGTGACAAGCATTATAATAGGAAGAAATATCGATAAGGCTAATAGTACAAATAAGTACCATTCTCAAAGATTCCATGTCTTAAAGAAGACTATTGAAATGCACAAAGGCACATGTTGAATATTATACACGAAGCATCCGTAGCCATTACTTCCTCTCTCTTATAATTACATACAGATAAGAAGCTATTTCGTGTAGTACTTCCATGAATATAAAAGTCATTCATTCATTATTCTAAAACCATTCACTAGTCGAACAATATAAGTTTCACTCAAAAACTGAAACGGAAACCAATAGAATGCAGTAAATATCAGTAATTTGCCAGCGTTACTTCCATTGTGTATCTTATTCGACATCAATCAAAAGTAAGACCAGATCCGTATGACAGATGATGTCACAAAATAAATTGTTAAAAGTTAATTATGTTACCATCTCACTTTCTATATATGTAAAATTGTAATAATGGAGAAAATTCTACGAAATAAGATGAGACTAAATGGACAACAACTATTTTCTTTATTGGTAGTATACATTGTAAGACTGTTTATTGCGAACATATTCGGATTCTCAGTCTATAATTTGGTTTTAAAATAGTTTAGTAAGAAAAAAAGAAAACAAACGTGCGTGAAGTATTTTGCGTCAAATGTGTTCAAGTTAACTCAAACCTCATTCATTCGCTGCATATATTATTGTAATAAGTTATATTAAAAAAAATCTTTGCTGACGAAATGTAGTAAAAAAAAAATATATATATATATTTACTATGTGGTCTCTCTCTCTTCTTTTTCCTTGCGGTTCTTTTTCTCGCCATTTATCGTTAAGGAAAGAAGAAAAAAAATCTAATGTTGTTGTTGTTGTTGTTTTCTTTTCTTTCCAATAGGCTTGAGTGCAAATAATACATTCACCAAACCTTTCATGACTTTAATGTAATCATTGCAAGAGAGAGATGAAGTTAAAACTCGATGCTATGGAATTGTTCGATAAAATGACAGAATTATTAATATTTTAGACAAAATTCTTTCTTTTTTTTTCATAGAAGTAAAACACACCACATATAAACTCTAAATGTCATCTCGCCCACTCATTTTTTTCATCGAGAAAAAGAAAAAAATTTCCTTTCTATTTGTGAAGTATTTCTATCGTTTTTCATGCTATATAATCTCAAGAATAATCACACAAGTGAATTAGTAATTCTAATTTGGAAAAGAAAAATTACCAAAAACATGTGTAAATAGTATTTACCTATATCTTAGCTCTGGCCAAAGTAGCCGTAACTCTAGTACTTTTGTAAGAAAAAAAAGAACTTTTTTCATATAGAAGAATATAAAATGACAAAAAAAAGATTTTCATATCATTCGATGTTTCAAGAACGGCAGTCAGAAAAACGTTTCGAAATTTTTGTTTGATTTTCTAAGCTAAGAAAATTGAAATATATTATATTATCCCTCAATTTCTTCAATGAGTTTTTCTTGCCACTCTATTGCTACGTAAATTGAAGCAAAGACCGTAAGAATTTCGCTCATTGATTTTCCCATGAGCCTCTAGAAAATATGAGAAGAAAAAATAAGCATTCTTGTTCCTTTCCTTGCTGGAAAATGAAGCGTCGATTTTTTATGTTTTTTCTGTGTTTTTGTTCTTTCTTTCAGGATGAAATAAACGTAGTCTACTATTCCGTTTCTTTTCAAAATAGACGTAGTATAGTAAACACGATTAATTTCTCTTGTTTCCTTAAAAAATAGTCTTTATTATAACATCTTCGAATAATCCTCCTAATTCCAGAATCAATATGTAAAAAGATAACATTGATATACGATCTATAGAATCAAACACAAGTTATTTCATTTTTGTGCATGTTTTTTATTTCGAATGAGCCATATTGACCTCCTGATGAGGTCGTTACATCTGATCGTCAAATGGTTTTAAATCTGGTCGTATAGTCTTAACTGTGTGTATTGTATGGACAGAACGCAAAAAAAGGTGTACCGAGATGTAGCGGCCTCATCAAGAGATGAATATGGCTCATTGTGTCAAAGGGAAAAGGCAAGGGGGAAAAAGCACCACTTCACCACTTCATTTCACTTCACTTCACCTAGGTAAAACGCTGCTGAAACGGTCGAAACAATAAAAAATCACTTCAAGTTCACTTCAAGTTAAGCGGAAGTGGTAA